TAAATAAATGACTTTTCTCTTTTTTCAAAGCTATATAGATATGGATTAATAACAGAATAAATTATTAAAAATAAAATGTTNAAAAATTAAATTAATTTAGGGAAAAAATAACAAATTAAAACATTGCAGAAGCACTATTGCTTCTCCAACTTTTTAATTTATGTTTTATATATTTGTTTTAATTTTTCAAATGATGTTTTATTTTGTCAATGTACCATACTGTCAAGTATGTTTCTAGAAGAATCAAGATCTCAAAGTGAAATGTTTTAGGCCTACAATGTTCTAAGTTCATCCCTTCATTTAACACCATATGTTCCAAGTGGTTATCCAAAAGAATTATTATAAATTGCAACACATGAAGAGAAATGTGAAACACTGGGATTGGACCTCCTAGAGAGGTCAGGGTTTAGCTACTGGTATTTCTTATGTTTTTAGTAGTGTTGCAACGAATAGTATATTCAGCCAGGAGCGTGGCTGAATAGCCGATTATTCGGCCAAACTATTCAGCTTGATTAACGCACGTACGAAAATTGGCTCGCAAACCACATTATGGCAAGGACCCTGCTCTCTATTGGCTCGCTGTCACTACGCTTCGCCAATCGCGTTAATTCTTGACAGTTGTAGCGGACAGACAAGAGCGTCATGGCAGTATGTGATAAATGATGATATCAAATGTGGATAACAACGAAATGACCTACACGTGTAAATAACAGAAAAAGAACAGAGAAGGACCGTGAAGTGAAAATAAATATGAAATTGAGTTGATAACATAATCAAACAAGTTGAGGCAGCTTATTGGCGCGAAATTTGCAGCCGTCAATGCCAAACAATTGTTGTCATAGACTTCGGAAAGTTAATGCTTGTAATGAAAGTCGCTTAGTGTGCACAGGCGAAAGCCTGGGGCCGTTCGGGCTACCAAGCTGTCTGGAATCTGTGAAATCATAACTGTGACTTATACAGATGTCCTATCTGTCTCTTTTCTCCGTTATCAGCAGGTTACGAGTCACGTAATTGTAAAATGGGAAATCTACGACAGAAAGTGACTAATCGAAAGTATCGTGAGTGCATATTATGATGTACGTGTAGGCATATGCAGACTAGAGCAATAGAGGAAAGAGAAAGGAAAGAGCAAAGACAAGCGCTTAAAAAGAAGGATAGATAGGGTCAGACCCTCAGATGTGCGATGATTCTCGAACAAATAGGTGTGTACGTGTGCTGATCTTTGTAATTATAAATTGTGAATACATGTGACTAATATTATTTTCTTTTTTATTTTGTGCATGTTATAAGTTATAAATAAATATAAACAAACAACACTAACCAGATAACATTAAATCTAAATACCAAAATGATTAATTTACTGTGTTTTTGTTATTTTTTACTTCTGTTTTTAGGTATTTCGGTATTCAGCTGAATAGCGAAAAATAGACCAAATACCGAATAGTAACCAAATATTCATTACATCACTAGTTTTTAGCTATGTGATCATTCTCAAGTTTTTTAACATAATTGAATACACAGTAGAAGAAATGCTAATTATTTATTAAATCATATTAATAAAGCAAAATGTAAATTTATATTTACATTCTAGTTATAATGTAAAATCTGTCTAAAATGGAACCCGAACGAAAATTTAATGAGATGTTTTTGAATACTAAGAATGTAACCTAAATAACATGGAAAGATTCCACTTACAGACAAATAAGTGAAATTTCGTCCTATTTATAATGGTCACTGAAGAACATGATCAGTGTTTTTAAGAATGATTTTGAAACTTTTCAGTCAAAGGTCATGTGACATGGGGACATACTATACACACATTATATCTTTGTTAATTAATTTAATATTAGTCTTTGTTGGAATTAACAGGGACAGAATTGAATACTTTTAAGAATCAAATGAGTCTCTTGAGAATAAGTAATGAATGTAATTTATTACTTGTCCATGAAAACAATGAGAAAAAAGATTATTATGTAGTTAATAACTGACTAGCACTGAGTATTTGAGAACAAGTTGATTCTAATCTGTTGGTAATTAGAGATTGAAGTTAATGATTAATTAGAGCAGTGATTTTTCAAGTGGAATGCCATGGCACATTAGGGTACTGCATTGACACTTCAGAGGTGCCATGAAATAGTGTTGAGCAGTGCCATTATTATTAAAATGAATGCAACTGTGTTGATAGGAATGCATTTATCAGACATAGTTTAAAGATAAAAGAAAACATACTAAAACCTGTCCAAAATGGAAAAAATTTAATGTGTAATCCTGGTTCATGCAGGTTTTACTATATTAAATAAAATATGTTGATTGTTGTTACATAGATTATTAGAGTAGTTCTGCAGAATAAAAAATGTATTGAATAAAGAAAATATATGGTAATTTTTTAATATTAGTAAAATATTGTATTCATTTAAATGCAGTTTTGTATATTGGTCTCATTTAATAGTTGTGGTAGTTAGTAATACAAATATTTGTATAATTTTTATTTTTAAACTAAATTTTTAAAATCTCTTATACAGTTCTTAATTCAATAATAATTAAATGCAAGTCTCTCACTTTTTTGATTAATCATTCTAATTGTTTTAAACTTTTTAATTGTTTTTTAAATTTGTAATATAATTTGCTTGTCAAATTTAGTCTCCTCCTAAGATTTATCAGCAAATTTATCTTTATTTTTAATTTATATATTTTGCTGCTATTGTTGATGGAAACAAGTAGTCAGTTTTTTTAATACAACTTAGTGATGTCAACAATTAATGCCTTTCCCCATATATAGTCAGTTGGCATTAATTGTATAGTCAATATACAAATAATGCCAATGTAGATAGTCACCAAGTAACAAAAGTGCATGTAGTTTTCAAATCTACTGTATGATGATTTCTTAAGGTAATCTGAGCATTGCTAGGTACAGTACATCAGCTAGTGAATATATACTACTAATTTATTAGTACATTCATGGAGAAGTATATTTTTAAATTAAAATCCAGATGTTATTCTGCAGTGTTGTAAAGGAAGAAAATAATATTGGGCTGCAAATTTAAAATTGCAGATCTATAAATTCTCACTGGCATCCATCTGTCAGCTTGTACTTTCTTTCTTTAGAATGGAGTCAAGATCAGAAATGGAAAGCTTAAAAGCCAGAGGCCCCGATTAACTATATATAAACATTATTTTGATTCAAAAATTTTCTCCAGAACAGAGCTAGTAGATGATTGGCAGTGGTATGTTGTCAAATTTGTTTCAGAGTGAGACTCAAACCCACAACTTCTATTGGTCCTGATAGTGTAATAGTGGTATCCATGCAAGTTTGAGTCTTGCTCTGGACCAATTCTTTTCTTTAGAATTTTCTAAATTAAAAATCAATATGAGATGGCATGTGTTACAATTTATAATAATTTTTTATATAAACATTAGTATATATTTGTATTGTNTTAAAAGTCATCAATTTTTATTAAATTTGTTAAAATATAAATAGTGAAAGAGAAATTTTTGACAACATATTTTAAAACAGTATTAATTTCATATATCACTATTTATAGTTGCACTAACTTTTTAAATTTATAAAGCAGAACCACCACCAGATTACATTGGGCTACTTTTCTGCAAATATATTTAATTAATTACCAAATAGTTTGTCACTAGAGAGAAGCATTAGGTGCCATCTCTTATTAAATTTATACTTCATAATTAAATTAATATTAATTAAATAATTTAGAATATTCTGAGAGAAACGTATTGTATATATTTAATTAATTACCATATATTTGTGCAGATAAGACAAGGTATAAATTTTCGTCAAAGTTTTATAGTTTTAGCATATATCTGTCCTGTAAGATGACACCCAAACTATCAACAGCCTATGAATTCAGTTTAGATCAGCAATGATCATCTGGATAATAACACTGTATACCATATATGGAATTACTGTATGTCCTATTTGTGATTTTTCAAATGAACAAATTTTATTTTGTTGCATCTGGCAGCACTGCCTTGCAATTGTTGCAAACATTCATTCATGATTTGGATAATTTGAGTAACCTTGACTATTCACAAAAATGTCATATGGGCTATTCTATTTTGTGGACATATCCTACTCTCTACTAGTAAGTAATTATGGTTTGTCTGTTTTACTATAATGGTTTTAATTTATATAAATTTCAATCTAATTTTTTTTGTATCTGTCCTATAAGACAATCCCAGATTTTCAGGGCCTTTTTTTTATGATTCAACTCTTGTCTTATCTGCACAAATATACAGTAATTTAAAGAAATGATATAAATTTAATTTTGCATCATTTGTTACAAATATCTGCTTACATCTAGTCAAATTAATTAGTAAGTAATTATTAATGTTACTTTAAAATAGTCCAATAATTTGGCAGATTGTTTATTTTTAAAAAAGATTCATAAACTTAGGTCAGGAAAATTTTTGCTTCATTAAAATTATTGCTAGAGCATAATTTAAGGTGTGAAATCTTCCTAAGATAGTAATTAGAAACAATCACTGAATTGATGAATTATTTTTCTAACATCGTACAGTTTGTTTTTAGAAATAAGAATTAAATTAGGTATGAAGCTTTATCTGATCTGAATAATTGATATTCTTAACAGTATTAAACAAAAAGGTATTGAAACTGATGCTGAAATTAGTATATTTATTCAGGAGTTAAATACTAAAGCTAGTAAAAATGAATTATTTGTTTGAAATCAGTTGTTGTAAAGCTGAAATTAACTATATCTAGCAATTGTCTGAAATATATTTTATCTGAACTCTATGAATTTATTTCAAGATATTTTCATATTAGCTTTATGAGAAATTAATTCAATTTGGTATTAGACTATTAGATAACTATAAAATCTTAATGTTAATTAGTAAAACAAAATTGCCTTTCAACATACTTGATGATTTTTTAAAATTATTATTTGATGATGATATAACTTAACATTAGAATAATATTAAAATGTTTTAAAATTTATGTATATTTTGTTATTTCTTAGGTTCAAATTATTATGTTCGTATTTTATCAACAATTGATAGAGAATTATTGAAACCTAGTGCAAGTGTTGCTCTTCATAAGCATAGTAATGCCTTAGTAGATGTTTTGCCCCCAGAAGCAGACAGTAGTATATCTATGCTGAGACCAGGTAAAATTTAATTTCAATTGTTTGTTTTCTTTTGAAAAGAAAGAAGTTATATGCATTATGATATTTTATAGATGAGAAACCAGATGTAACATATGCAGATATTGGTGGATTAGATATTCAGAAACAAGAAATCAGAGAAGCAGTTGAATTGCCTCTTACACATTTTGAATTGTATAAACAAATTGGCATTGATCCTCCTCGTGGTGTTTTGATGTATGGACCTCCAGGATGTGGTAAAACTATGTTGGCTAAAGCAGTAGCACATCATACAACAGGTATTATTGCAAATCTTATGTATATTTTTAAATTCAAAATTTTAATACTTAATTTTTTTTCATTTTAGCTGCATTTATTAGAGTTGTAGGATCAGAATTTGTACAGAAATATTTGGGAGAAGGTCCCAGAATGGTAAGAGACGTTTTCCGCTTGGCAAGAGAAAATGCACCAGCTATTATTTTTATTGATGAAATAGATGCCATTGCTACCAAAAGATTTGATGCACAAACTGGAGGTTAGAAATTGATAAAAATGATGATTACTTTTTAATGCATCATTAATACCAAACTGTATAAAAAATATTTAAGTGATTTTATTAAAGCTTAATTATAATAATTAATGTCTTAGTTATAAATTTTATAAGAGATTTTATTTTTTTTTAATTCATTTAGGGGTGGCTTTTTTTCACTTTAATTAGCTCTCTGTAATTAAAGTGAAAAATAAATATCTTGATGATTTTGGATTTTTAGAGTTCATTTCTTGAGTTTTATTTTTAGAATGTTACAATTACATCTGGAAATTCAGATATAAGTATACAATCATATCACTTAAAGGAATAAAAAGTACTATACACTTCCAATGCTACAACTTGCTTTTCATGTATCTTGTGCAGGATTTTAGTTTTGATTTCCTTTTCTTTGGAAAAAATATAAAAACAAATGCAATAGAGTGAGAGGAGCTCTACATTAATTTTTATGGAATTTGTTTCCAAAGTAAGATTTTGATTAAAGTGGCAAAATTGAAAGTTTAAAAATGAAAATATAATACTGATCATCTTTTGATACCCATGTTTCAGGGCCTCTTCAAGGCTTATAATTTACATACTGGGGACTAGCCAATTAGTTCTTGTTTGACATTTTCTAACCAATTCTAATATTGGCCAGAAAATGCTGATCAAATTATGAAAATTTTTTTTTTTACTTTTTCCTTCTAAAAGATCTTTTTGTTTACATTTAGAGAAATTTAAAACTGAAATTATATAAATAAACTACTAAAGTATCAAAATAAAATTTTAAAGCATGTGTTACCACATTATTATATGTTTATAGTCAATGAAATATTTTTACATTACACTATTTTCATTATGTTGCAGCAGTATACTCAGCAATTCATTCAATTTGATTTTTTGTTATTCATTGGAGGATTTACTGCTAGCTTCCCCACACTGTGTGAATTCTCCCTTTAAAATTCACATCATTTTAAGAAAAGAAAAAAAAGACAAGGTCTGAAATAATAGTATAAGTGAGTGCAGCCTGATAATTATCATAAATGACAAGACAAAAACAGACTGACTGCAGATTGGTTGGAATCAGGTCCAGTTAGAGAGAGGGTAAGCTGGGGCAGTAGTTCCAGAGCATAAGATGCATTCTGTGGGCCCAGGCCATGTTTAAACATTTGTTGGCCAAAATCCAACATGTTACATCAAATCATCATTAGCCAAATTCTGAATTGAAATTCCAGATATAAAAGAGAAAAATTCTAATTCCTAGAATATTGTAAATCAGAATTTAAAATTTATAAAATTTTTCTATATAATTAAATTTTATTTAATAACTTGCATTTGTATTTTCTTTTAAATTATTAAATCAATGTATTGAAATAAACTTTTTTCTGTATTTCAGCTGATAGAGAAGTACAAAGGATTCTCTTAGAACTTTTAAATCAAATGGATGGATTTGATCAAACTACAAATGTCAAAGTAAGATAATTACAAAAATTATTAATTTTTTAGTATACTATTTTCCTTGTTTAGATACAAAGAATTATTATGTATGTTTGCAATGAAAAATAGTTACTCAAATAACATTTTTTTTCCAGTAATGAAACTTTAAGATATAAATTTAAATGTAGAGCTAATACAAATTAAACATACCAAATTTATATTTTCATTAAACAAGAATCCATATATAGATATCCTTCATACAACATGGTTTGAAAATTGGGGAAATCCCCCCATACAAAATTTCAGAACATTTAAGTCCAAACTCTGTTGTTCAATACTTTTTTTATTCAAGTATGCATGTGTGTTGTCATCTCAAATTTGCCCATGGATTTTACAAGATTTTATTTGACATTTTCAATTTGTTTCATGCCTTTCATCAGGTTTACTTTAATGAAAAGTGATAATGTTTTTTTCTTCCTTGTCTTAGCTTTCCTATCAACCAGGTGTTGTTGTCATTGCTTTCAGACTTCAGTCTTTATGACTGTCACTGTTTTCTTTTTAGATTAATCTTTGTACAGTAGAGTCTCAAAAACTCGGCACTCGATAACCTGGCAGTCCAGATAACTCGGCCACACCCTGGCAGGGCAAAAAAATCCTTAGTTAATTAATTTTCATTATAGACAGCTTTATGCCTCATAAAGTATTTTTCTGAGGTCTGTCTTATCAGGTAAATTACTGTACACAGTGTATTCATTAATTTTCATTTTCATGTAGTAAAGGCTCTATGCCTTCATAAAGGACGTACTTTTCCTTTGTTTAAGGGTATTTGGGCAGTTTATTCTCTGTTGTATTCTCAAGTAAACAATACATACAAGTACAGTACAGTATTTTCTGAGGAAACACTCATACTTATTTTTTTTAACCCCATTCCCAATAACCCGGCATTTTCATGAACTCTGCTACCCTTCGGTCCGCATTAGGCCGAGTTTTTGAGACTCTACTGTATTTAATAAAGTTTATTAATAATATAAAAGCCATCATCTGTGTGTGTGTGTGTCTGTGTGTGTGTGTGTGAATTCCTTATAATTCCTGCAATTTTTGTCCAATCCAGATGATGATTTGGTTATATTCGTTTTATGTTCTGACAAAGTATAGTCAACTTACTTTGCAGAAATATTAGCTATAGAATAAATGTTTTATCGATTTTAGATCGGTGATTGCTCTAATGTTGCAGTGATGTCAGTAAGTTCATTTAGTTCTTGCTTGACAATGAAATTCCCCAAGTTGCATTTTAAAATATTTTGGCAAATGACATGTTTTAAACTACTTCCTTAAATTTAAAATTTAAACTTTAAAAAAAGATCATCACATTGTGTTAATTCTATAATAAATTTAAAAAAAAACTTTCCATAGTGACCACTGATGTTCTATTATTCAATTGGAAGTAACGATATAACAAGTCCATTATTAAAATCTTTCTTTACAAAAAGATTTCCAATAGTTTTTTTATTATAAAAGTCATCAGCTGTTTTTGTTTCTAAGTGAATATTTATGTAACTCCTATTATTTTTGTCCATTTCAGGTGAAATTTTGTTTTATTGCTCTTTGTTACAACAGATAGTATAAACTACTAAATTTGTAGAAATACAGTAGAGCGTTGATTATTCAAATCTATTGGGGACTGGGGTTGTTCGGAAAATTGATATTTTGGATAACCGATTATGTACGAAAAAATATATTAACCTATCCTATGTTGAAATTTGTCTCCATTGCGTGTCACTTTGCGTTGAATTTTCGTTGATGTTAAGCCTAACGTAAACTTTTTAAATTAATAATCGTGACTATTGTATAGTTAAAAATTATTTCTTTATTTTGTACAAACAAAATAAATATATTGAAAAATATAAAAACAATAAAAAAGTATACTTCAGAAGTTAATTTAGTATCAAAAACATAAAATATTTGAGTAGCCCAAGACATAGTCAAAGATTGCAGCACCACAGCACTGGCGAAAATTTAAATTTGCCGACTGGAATTCTTTTGGATAATTGACGCTCTATTATATTTGCAACTCTTTCTTGAATTCCTTGAAATTACTCTTCTCAATTCTTCAATCTGTACTTTCTCATAAAAAGTATTCGGTCATGCTTGACTGGGTAATTTCTAGATTAAACATGTTTAGGTAAGTTTTGTTAAACTTTTTAACCATAGTTAAGTAATCATTTCATAACAATGATGGATGAAATACAGTGGTATCTCAGTATTTGAACAGTTCCCAAATCAAACAATTTGGTATTTAAAATTCTGGAGAAAAAATTGCTTGGTCCTCGATTGAACAAATGTGACCCACTAGAACAGATTTTTGATTAATAATATATTTTTATTTTGTTATGTATAAAAAAATTTTATTGCAAAAAAAAAATGAAGACATTGCTGATATTTGTGATATTGACAAAAAAACTCAGATGACAATACATTTTAAAAAGAAAATGCCCTTGTTTAATTAATATTAATGTATAATACAGTACTTTTAATTGTGATTGTTAGTTAAATTATTGATTGCTTTAATAATCAATAATTATTTCCAAACATTTCTTTTAGTAACAAAAAAGAATGTAACCAACCTTATGTTTTGCATTAGTCTTTTATTTCAAATAGCATGGATTTGCAAAACAGCATTTTTTTCTGAAAACTACCATGTTATACAAGGGACATCAATACATCTAAACAAGTAAATCGTTCTGCTGGTATATATCTAACAAATTAAGTAAAATAATTTTATTTTAGTTTGATGATTATTCAACATTAGGCAGTGTATAAATTAATTGAAGTATATAGAAAATATTACCAACCTTTTAATTTAGTGAATCTTTGTATGCTAGGAAATAATTAGCTATATTTCTAGGGCAGTGTTAATTGCAATCATATGGAATAATTACTAGTTCAATAAATTTTACCAAATATAATAAAATCTTTTAGAGTGTTGGTCAATTTCATTGATACTAATAGCAATTTTGGCTGATACTTCAATACCTTTTCCAGAATGTCGTGCAGCAACAAATATCAGCTTAGTTTTCACGATGCACTCAAATACTAATATTGTTGAACATTAAACCTGATCTTATTTTGTTACAATTACTTTTATTTAATATATCTGTTACTGTAAAAGACCAATATTTGTGAATGTAGACATTCGCTGGTGAATGTCAACACAGACAACTGTGTGAATGTTGACATTCCCCCCATTTCGGTCATTCACAGTAACATATCTATAGGGGTGTCTTTTTTTTGCAAATTATCTATTTCTGAAGGAAATTTATGTTAGTGTAATTTGCAAAAAAAAAGTCACCCCTATAGAGATATTAAATAAAAGTAATTGTAACAAAATAAGATCAGGTTTAATGTTCAACAATATTAGTATTTGAGTGCATCGTGAAAACTAAGCTGATATTTGTTGCTGCATGACATTCTGGAAAAAGTATTGAAGTATCAGCCAAAATTGCTATTAGTAGTATTAAAAGAGTATCTATTTCTGAAGGAAATTTATGTTAGTGTAAACTCTTTTAATATAAAGTTCTCTTAGAAAGTTTACAGGGATGTCTTATTAGTGTTGCAAATTACACTTACAAATAATGCTGGTTTTTTTAATTATTTTAATAAGAAAGTATATTTTAGAATTGGTTTGGTTTAGTTTATTTGTTGGTTCATTTTTGCTTAGGAAGAGTTGCATTCTGACTGAATTTGGATTTTGATGTTTAATTAATATATACTGTAAAAATAAGCAAAAAAAAAATCTTGTAATAGAGAAGACTGCTATTGCTATAACAAAATAAAAAATTGGCCAACAGTATTTACATTAAAATATAAATAATTGTCTTCAAATTAATTGTCTTTTTTGTCTGTCTGTCTGAAATTGGTAACCATCATTTATTCCCTTATGTTCCAGAATACAAACATTTGACGACCTGACCTTTCTTTTTAGGCTGCTTGGCCGCCAAGTTTAAAAACATTCCTTTAAAAAACACACAACTTTGTAATTTCAATTGGATATTTAAAATTGGAACTGTCAGATCTTACAGACATCTTGTTTTTTCGAGCTTTATATATACTGAGGAAAATGTCTTCAAATTAATTTACATAAAATTGCCATCAGATGAAATTCTGCAATTGAATCTTCTGCAAAGATTCGTCACCAGGGGAAGCTACTAAAATCTACATTTACCAGTGCATTTTCCTCAGTAGATATAAAGGCTTGAGAATCTCCGAGTGGTAAGGATGGAAAGAAAAACGAAGATGTCTGTAAGATCTGCCAGTTCCAATTTTAAGTTTGTAATTTCAATTGGATATTTTTCTGTGTGTTTTTTTTTTTTTAAGAAATGTTTTTAAACTTTACAGCCAAGCAGCCTAAAAAGAAAGGTCAGGTTGTCAAATGTTTGTATTCTGGAACATAAGAAGGGAATAAATGGTGGCTACCAATTTTAAAATATTAAATATTGGTATAACAATGTTTTGTGTTCAAGTTATATCTATGCTCACATTCCACAGATTCCATCTTATATTTTGCAGGAAAAATTTGTCAGTAATGCTGAAATAATAGTTTTTCTGGTTTTTACAAGTTTTGCCTACATTTATTTTTAAACTAATACATTGCTATTTCCAGGTCATCATGGCCACCAACAGGGCAGACACGTTAGACCCGGCCCTGTTACGGCCTGGCCGACTCGACAGAAAGATTGAATTTCCCCTGCCTGACCGTCGTCAGAAACGTCTGATATTCTCTACCATAACAACAAAAATGAATCTGAGTGAGGAGGTCGACTTGGAAGACTACGTGGCGAGACCAGACAAAATATCTGGTGCTGACATTAATGCCATCTGTCAAGAAGTGAGCATTAAAAATAATTTTATTTGTTTGAAGTTTATGTCGCATAAAGCTAAAGTATATTCTTTTCTTTTAGGCTGGAATGCATGCAGTGAGAGAGAATAGATATGTAGTTTTAGCCAAGGATTTTGAAAAGGGTTACAAGAACAATATTAAAAAGGATGAATCTGAGCATGAATTTTACAAGTAGTACGATATGTATTGATAAATTTAGTTTTAGTGAATGTAAACAATTTTATATTTGTTAACCAGTTTTCTTTAGAAAGAATAAAGAGTTTATGGCATTCTTGTTATATTACAAATGTGGCAAGATAACACACATTAACACAAACGTAAATTTTAATCATTACAATTTACAATATTAATACATAAACCACTGCAATGCTTCAACAAAAGACGAGCATTGCAACGTAATTTAATTTACAAAGATAGTAAAATGGTCGTCTCACACGCACGAGAGTCTTGCAATAAAAATTAAGATACGAGCTAGTAACCAGTCGTTAAATTCTAATTTTTCTACTAGAAAAAAAACTGCAAAACAAGTTAACTCTTTTAGGAACTTATATTCAAATGAGAATTACCCATTTGCTTTTTTTCTCACAATACAAAATATATATACAAATTTCCATAATACTATTTGAAAATACTCGTTTTAAATTTTATCGTCTAGCATTACTCATGCGGACTGGAGGTCGAGATCTCATCTGTCGGACAACTTACATGATTGAGAAAATATAGAAAATTACACGATAGATTTGGAAGATATGTCTTGCCTTGTTATAATTAACTGATAATGTGGATTTATTCTCAATTTTAGGAACAATTTTATGTACATTAGTTAGCAAAATTGTTGTTTTACAGTTGTGATCAAAATATTAGCATAACTGAAAAATTTTCAACTCAACTACAAATGTTGCCATTCTAAAGTAAAAGTGTCACGAGTTTGCATTTAGAAATTATATGATCTAGTTCAAACTGATTGTTTACAGAATATCTGATTATTTGAAAAATCTAGTGTATGTAGTGTATTTATTATTTTTAGATAGCAAAAAAGAATTTATAATGCTGACAAAATTTGAGATATCTTTTGTGAGTGGAAGCTTTATTGTTGAATTGATTTCTAATCATTTGTAATGTGATAATACTGAATGTCACATTTATTAGAACAGAAATGATGATAAATGCATGTTGCACTTTTAATAATTTAAAGATTACCTGTGACAAGACAGACAACAAAATATTAAATTGAAGAAAAAATTGGGAAGTTATGCATTTTGAATTTTTGACACATTATAATTTATAACAAAAATACTTTGCTATCTGAATGTCTAAGAACACTAAAATATTTACTACTATATAGAAATTCCGTTAGTTATATATTTAATAACTATTATAATAAAAGTTATATTACATCATTCTTCATATTAGCAGAATTTCAGCTAATATGAAGAATAGAGAAATTTTCAGATCATTTTGAAATTAACACTTTTATAATTTTTAAATTCAAAATATTTACTGAAATTTCAGAATTTTGTTAAATAACAAGTTCACATTATAGTTCTAAGCTTTGCATTTCATCATAGATATAGCTTCAAATTCTCAAATTATAGGCTGATTATAAAATACTTTTTTCAGACATGTTTCTCATGTTATAAGGAATTATGCTGATTTGTTTATTTAATAGTACCAAACTCTTATAATTAAGTTTAAATTACATAAATTTTATTATTTTTCTTTGAATATTTAACTAGTTAATTTGTTAATTTTTGTCATTTTAAAATGCAACTTAGTAACTTATTTTCAGCATATTAATTTGGGTCTTATCTGATATATGTAACATTTCAAGATCTATTTTTAATAAATTTCAAATTATTTAACAGTTTAATAGACGTGTTATTGAATCAAATCATATTGTTACTTTATCTCATGATATTCCCAAATAAAAATGAATGCTATACAATTTTAATGCTTGAGATAATTTTTATCAAAAGATACTAAGAAGTGAATGTCTAGAGCAGGGGTGGCCAACAGCTTTTGCCCCCAGGCCAGATTGGAAAGAGAACTTTTTCCACGGGCTGAACCAGAGATTGCCCTAGGAAGATTTTGAGGTGGTGCGAGATCTCATTGTGGTGTCACCCTGTAGAGACTGAATTGTAGATAGAGATTACAGATACATTTCTCACATCATTCTTTATCAACACTTAACACTGTAGTTAAGAGATTTGTAATGGAGGGTTAACTCTAAATGCACGGTGAGTATTGACTTTTTTTTTGCGTCAGAATTTTTCATCAAGCTATTTTCAAAAAGATTGATCGAGGCCACATAAATTCATTAGATGGGCCAGATCTGGCCTGCAGGCTTTATGTTGACCATGCCTGGTCTAGAGTATATCTATTCTAGAGAAATTAATTTCTAATTAAATCTCCCTAGAATGAACTAAGAAGAGTAACCACACAACAATTTTAATAGTTCATTGTAATATTTTTTGTTGTAGCATTTTCTGTATAATATACAATATAGCATTTTTCTTATTATAGATTATATTTAACAATTTTTTTTATCTTCATGATTATTTTTCTCAACATTTTCAATTCCATTTAAGTCAACTGACTTATTGATCATTTCTGTGCATCAATTTGGAATTTGAGTTTCATATTTCTTATTTTGGTGCATTAATGTAATACAGTACATACATCAATAGTTCTTTTAGACAATCCAAGGAAACTTGTTTTAGTTAATTCTGTAATTCTGATTTTGGTTCTATAAAAAATTTATAAAACATTCTTACAGACAAATTTTTTAAAAAACTAGTATGCAGAAAAAGCATATTGTATTTTAATTTCCTTACAATTATTAATGAGTGAAATTACTTTTGTGCACAACATCATATTATGATCATTGAATATATTATATGGACAATGTGTTGTTAGTAATAAATATATTGTCATATTTCATCAAAATGAATGGGACCTTTTAGAAATAAAAATTAATTAGAATTGCTATTTTAAATCTGAACAGCAGCTTCATTATAAAAATCTAGCAACAAGTTTCATAACAGCCAGGAAAGTTTTTTTTTTGTTAAAATTGCAAACAAAATGTGTTTTTTTTTTATCAGATTTTGTTATAGTTCTTAAGTTTTTTGCTATTGTATAGCAATTAATTTTAAGAGTAGGGATGAAAAAGTATAAATGAAGATTTTTTGTTATTAACAATATCCAAATCCAAGAGATACATGACCCCCTCTACATCCCCACCCTCTTGACTTTTTATCACCAAAATTTAATAGCATTAATGTCCCTCATATGCAAGCCACCATGCCAAATTTTGTTTCTTAATCTATATCCCATCCCAAAATATTAAGCAAAATAGATGCCCCCCACACACACATGGAATTTTTTTTCTTTTTTGATTCAGGGGTTTCAAAATGTGGAGATTTGCAAAAAAAAACTAAGGGTCATATTTAACACTATTCCAATACTTTTCATGCTGTTATGTATACATAACAAGGAAAAGTAAAATTAGGTTGAAGAGAAATGAGATGCGAGCTTGATATAACAACATTACTAAAAATTATCATCTGATTCTGTCTAGAAAAGTTATAGATTGTGGGAAATGTTTGGTATATAAAAATAAATATAGAAATATGGAAATAGACATTTTGAAAGAGGAAGCAAGCAAACAAATGAATATCATTGTATGATCAGAGAAAAGAGTAACAAAGAAAAAAAAAATTGGAATACATTTTTAAAAAGCATTAACTAAGAGGTAACAATCTATGTCAATATATTTGAGAACATGTTGGAAACTGATCTGGAGGATAGTTGAAAAGTCAATAATACCAATGATTGAATTGAATATAGGGTATTGATATAGGGTAGATATATTGATAGAATATGCAATATAAGATTTCAGAGGTAGTTTGATTGTTATTGAATATAATATAACAACTTTTTAATAACTGAAAAATAAAGTTAGATGAATGTAATCATTTTTTGTTTCTTAAATATCACAGTAGTACTAGGAAAATTATGATATTTAAGTTAGCATAAAAAGCCCCATTTTTGAACTAGATCAGAAGAAAAGCTGTGCTTATGAACTTTGATTAAGCACATTCAGTAGTAATATATAAAAAAAATTAACAATTTTCAAAAATTATGCTAATATATTGATCACTTAATATATTGTTGCTTTTCCTAATAAATATAGTAATAAAAAATATGTTTAATAAAAAAATAAAGTTTGATTACTTTAAAAAGTTTTTTAAAAAATGCCTGCAATATTTTCTAAATAATCCTAAATTAATATATAAAATTAATATCAATTTGTCTAGCATAATTCGGCACACATACTAGCATGAGCTACACACCGACCAGAATTTAGCTGTTACAAGAAATAACAGAGCATTAAAGGTGCATCACCAATAATGAATAAAATTATGCAAGTTGTTGTTTTATGGACAAAACATATATAAAAATTGTGACCTAAAATAAAACATAGACAATTTTACTATTAACAAAAATCAAATTTCTCAGCAAGAAATGACATGACTAGAGGAAGACAAAAAGATTGACTAGATTGCTCTATATTGAAAGTGATCATTACACTTTGTATAGTGATTTGTGTCATATAAACTACATGTGTGTCATATATTTGTGTTCTTTAAATAAATATTAAATATATTTTAACATCCACTGATTAAACTAATCCTAAACATATATATCACATTATTTTGTGTGATGTGCATTCTGACTTATTTTTTTTTGAATAATTAAGCAATATATACACATATATTTCCAGTTTTTTACATTTCATACATACTTTTGGGTCAGAGAAAATGGGTATTACAAGGGATTTTAAACCTCACAGTTTTGATTAGATCAACTATACAATATGCTACATAATTATTTCACGAACTGTCTACAATTCTGTATGTAGAATCTTGGTAATTTGTAATGCAATATTTTTTTATATACATCTAAATTGTTTTAGTTATATTTGCAATACTTATAATTGCACTATTACAAAGTGTGAAATTAGTCCCGTTTTCTTTACAATCAATAGTTATTTTTAGCAATCATGTTTGCAATTCTATGCACAGAGGAATAATACGAAATTTCTATAAATGCTTTCTTTTAAAGTGTTGATAAATTACCAAGTTTCCATCTTAAATGTGAAAACTTTTCCTAACTATATACAAATATTTTTACTAGAGGCATTTCTTTTTGGAAATAAATATTACTCACAACCTGAACAGATGTGGAATTTTTGTCTTGAGGCCCACAGCAAAACTTAGACCATCACTGTAACGTGTGCCATTGTGTGACCTGTTTCCGTGGAGATTGTTTCATGGCATTCCAGTGATGCAAGGCGCTACCTCGGACACATGAGCCGATTACAACTTTTCCCACGTGTCGGTTTTTCTTGTTTGAATTTGGTGATGTAGGACTCTCGGGTGATGAGACAGATCCATCCTGTAGATCACGATGACTGACAACAATTATAAAGGCAACGTGGTCAAGCTGAGAAGGTGGTATGTCAAATGTAAGGGATTCATTATAGACAGGAAATAATGTTCCAGGTCTGACAGATGTTTTTCTCTTCTTTAGAAGTTTTCCATTATGGAGCAAGATGATACGAACACAGGGAGCTATAAGAACATACTGTTATTCATATTATATTTAAATTTAATTAAGTAACATCAATTTATTATTTTATTAAGAAATACAAAAATATAAAAATAAATCTGAAAACTTTGATTATATATTTTATTTTCAAATAAAATTGCACCTATATAGACTTATATTCATTCATTCCTGGTCAAATTTCTGACTAGGAATATGGTCTAAGCCAACTACATATTTCTCAATGAGGGGCTTTAGAGAACAACAATTATTTAAACTTAATTTAGTTACAGTTGTAAATAATTTTAACTTATTCAGCTATTTTTGGATATACTTTGAGATACATTTTTAAATTTAAATAATTTTGAAAGATATCCTAATAAGATGTGTATGAATATGAGTTAACAAAGATGACAAAAATTAATGGGGCATCTACAGTATATATGTAACAAAATTATTATGTACCAACATTTAATTAATATAAAAAGGTGTTTACAATGGACCAGGGTTTTAGCATAGTCTTAAAAATCAGGTAATGTATGCTATGATTAATGCTTGCAATGAATATTTACAATTAGCTCAAACACAAGGAAGAAAATGGCAAAAAATGTTGCAACATGAACATGAACAACGTTTAAGGTTAGAGGACATGGTAGAACAACTTGCTAAACAACATTCACATTTAGAAAGAGCTACAAAGGAAGCAGCTGCTACTTCAGGTGTAAATTCTTCAGGTAATGTTTATATGACAATCAGGCATTTTCTCTTTCATGTCCTCAAACTAAAAACAAAACATCTGGCAGTGCTGTTGTTGCTTTCATAAAAATAGTGTCTGCACAGAAAAAAAGTACAAGCTTTGGTGTGGTTTGCAGAATCAAAATACATTTTTATGATGCTATGCAACTTTTATCATGTATTCATCAAACCACTTATGTCTGCAAGATTGGGCAAGAGGGCCTTGATTTATGATGAAAAGTATTCATTTAAACATTTTTTTCTATATTTTTTCAAATTTTACTATATGCTCAAGATTTATGAAAAATAAACCACAGTTAGGAAGGACAAAGTTATCAGTCTTAATTATAAGGCTCTTCTAATTCAGTCTTGGTTTAAATCTGGCAGTTTATGAATTTAGTGACATAACGATTACCAAGTTCAAATGAACAAATTAATATAAGTATCTCTCGTATAACATAGCAGTTACATTCTGAAAAAGCGCTGTTTTTCAAATCCACGATGGACAAATGCAAAACATAGGGTTAGATTCCAAAGTTAACAAAAAGTAAAGGGTGTTTATAAATGAATGGTGCGGTTTTAAAAATTAATAGTAAATCCATTTATTACCTTATATGGGCAAACCTTACCGCATTAGCAGCAGCAACTGTCCAAGTTTTTTATGCATTAATAACAATCCTTCAATATGTGCACCTATGGTCACACAACACACATCTACACGGTAATCAAATTCTTCCCACACGCAGTGCAGCATGTCCTCCATGATGGTCTGCAGTGCATGCTTTATCCGATCATACAGTTCCTTGAGGAACTGTATGATCGGATGACAGGCATTGACAATACATAAACTCAGTCAATGCCTGAGATTAAGGTAATAAATAGATTTATTATTAATTTTTAAAACCATACCATTCATTTATAAACACCTTGTACAGTAGAACCTCGATTATCCGCCCCCCGATCAACCGACCCCTCGGTTAACCGACAGTCCTAGTCGGCAAATTTCAAATGTCTGCTAGTGATGTGGCGCTACAATATTTGGCTGTCTTGGCTACTTTAATATTATTTTTACGTGTTTTAGCTGGCAACACTCATTCAACCATGAAAGGGAGCCAGTATTTAAACGAAGCTTAATTTTCTAATTTTTAACGATACAATAGCGACGATTATTATTTTAAAAAATTTTTGTTAGGCTTAACATCGATGAAAATTCAATGCAAAATAGGTTAATAGCGATATACTAATATACTAATTACATGGGATATAATAATATACTACAGTAATAATGGATTTTTCATACTTTTCGGTTATCCGACTTTTCAATTATCCGACCAACCCCAGTCCCCAATTAGGGTGGATAATCGAGGTTCTACTGTATATTCTTTTTTGCTACTAAAAGAAATATAATTTATTAATTAGCTAATTAGCTAAATTAAATCAATCAGTAATTAACAATCACAATTAAAAGTACTGTATTACATGTTAATATTAATTTTAGTTAAACAAGGGCATTTTCTTTTTACAAAGTACTGTCATCTTCTGAGCTTTGTTGATCTTGATCAGAAATGTCAGCAACATGTTCATTTTTTTATTTTTACCATAAACATTTTTTTTATGTATAACAAAATAAAAATAAAGATATTATTAATTGAAGATTTGTTGTATGGAATCACATTTGTTCAATCAAGTAAGGAGTGATGTTTTCCCTAGAATTTGTGTTTAAATACCAAATTGTTCAAGTTCAAAATGACAAATTAAATACTGCCATATTTCGTTTGTCATTTTTATGAATTATTACTTAACTACAGTTAAAAAAGTTCAATAACACTAAACATTTAATAAAGATTAATCTAAAAAAGTGACAGTCTTAAAAACTAAAGTCTGAATGCAACAACAACACCACCTGGATGATAGGAAAGCTAAGGACAAAGAAGAAAAAATTCTACTATTAGTTTTCATTAAAGTAAACTTGATGAAAAGGCACAAAATGAATTGAAAATTTCATTATTATAAAATCCATGGGCAAATTTGAGACAATACATATGCTTATTCGAACAAAAAAATTATTGAATAATGGCATTTACACTTAAAAATTGTGAAATTTTGTATGAAGAATTTCTTAAATTCTCAAACTGTATTACAGTGAAACCAGAATCTGTGCTGTATGGGGGAGGATATACTCAATTTTCCAATATTGTTAGAGCAAAACAATGTTGTATGAGGGATACCTGTATATCTTATACTATCTGAATAAAATATAAAAGAAATGGAAATAAAAATTAATAGTCTTTTTAGAGAAAAATTATGCTTTTATATTATTAAAAAGTATATGTTGTTATTTTGGATTTTTTCATTAATAAGTAAGAATATGAAATTGAGAGTATTGTTTGTTTATGAAATGTTTTAACATTTATTATTATTTGTTCTGTATTATGTTATTACTTTTATGCAGATTCTATACTTGTAAAAATTTTGAAAATGATTTTAAAATAGTCTCATTGAAAATTATAAAAATTACTTAATTTGAACACAGATTAAAAACTAAGTAATAAAATGATTTATACTAATATTTTATAAAGCATAAAACTGTTAGTCTCACTAACAATTAAATGTATGAAATCAGAAACAGAATAATCATGTAATGAAAAATAATATCAAAATTACACCAGATTACTGAAAACAGAATTCCTGAAAAAACATAAGTTTTACTATAATTACAATATCATTGATCATAATTCATAATGAAAGTGAATATAAATAAAAACCAAAAATTCAATTTGTTCACATAATAATGACAAAATTAAAAAATATTAAATTAGGTCTATACATTTTCAGAATTTTATAAAAATATAATAAAACTCTTATTTATGAAAATCAGAGAGTCATATCTGGCTCTTGCTTTAGGCATATGAGTGTTTGATTGTGACTATTAGCCAGCATCGCTAATTAATCAAACAAGAGTGATAAGAGCCCCTACTTCTTATTTATAAAAATTTCTAATAATGTTAAATATTTTTATGATTACCACAGATATACAAATTTAAACTGAATAAATAAGAGTATATGAAAAATAATAGAAACTTAATAAATTAACACTGTTACAACTTCTGAAATGATTTCTCATTTATATTCCAGGTTCGATGTATGTTGCAAAACATACCCAAGATGTAAACTAAACCTTGAATGATCAGGAATATAATTTTGCTTATTTAATTTGGTTACTGAAAATAACATAAAATGAGGACTTCACTTTCACAGACACATCGAGTTAGCTCAACCTACACAAGAAGGTCTTGGTTTCAGTTACAAAGGAGGTAGAGCACTTACCTCTCACCCATCTGATGAAAGTTGAAATACTACTGCAGACAATCAAGAGCAAAAAGTAGGTGAATGTCTACAGTACAACCTTCTTGTTTTCCAGTTACTGTCTCATTTAAGACCTTGTCACAAAATATCTTGTTTGGTGCAGTTTAGTACAGTTTTTCTTTTTGCATTAAAGGAGAAAAAAATTATGAAGTATAGTGGGGTTTGTGCTATGTAACAGAATAATAGTAAAAGGATATCTTTGATAAATGCTGTTCAGTTCAATCCAATGGATCCAGGTATCCAATATGGTTGGCAATTACTACCATATTCACATTTGTTTGCTTGTAGCAAGAGGGGTTTTTTTAGGGCTAAGCCTCCCAAAATTCTCTGCATCCTCCAAAGAAACTGGGGAATGAGGATGTAAACTATGAAATAGGTCTAACTGTAGTTCATCAGTATAATTTATTACATGTAGTTTTTGTATTGTAATGTAGGAAGAGAACTGATACAATATTTCTTTAGAGAAAACTTACTTTCATCCCTAGAATATTGGAAGATTTTGTAATGAAATTAAATAAAATTAACTTAATTTTTTTACAAAAACTCCTGCATAAAATTTTTATCATTTCAAAGGACCATATAAGGCTTTTGTTTCAAGTTTGCCTATTACTCATAAAACACTCCTACCAATATGAAAATTTGTGCCAAATTTTCATATTCTGCATTTAAATTTTGCATGTAAATTTTTCATAAATTTACTGCATTCAGAAAGTGAATGCATAATTTTATGCTAATTACAAATTGCCATTCTATTCCTCATCATTCACGAGTTAGTTTTCCCATCATAATATACTGTGGTGATACACAAGTTGTTTGTATATATTTTTTCTTAAGATTAAGTTTCTTCATTCTTTGATACACTTTCCCAAACTTTCTAACTGTCCTTTATCTCTGCTGGTGGTAAAACATTTCTAAGAAAGAGAAAGGAAAAACAAGGGTGTGGAAGAAACGACCCCAAGGCAAAATCGGTGGAAAAGGGGGAGACAGACTGGAGCTAGCATTGGAACAAGACAGAGGGTGAGAGGAGGTCCTGGTTGCCGTAACTAAGGGGGACTGAGTGATTTGAGAACAGCTAGAGCGAGACATAATGAAAAGGAAGAAGGGAAGGAAAATCGACGAAAGTTTTCTTTCTTTACATCGCTGCTAGTGAAATCTGAAGAAAGGAAGGAAAATCAACGAAAGTTTTTTTTACATCGACGCTGGTGAAATCTGAAGAAAGGGAGGAAGGAAACACGGGTACCCTAACCAGCAGTCTTCTCTTGTTTTTTCTATTCTTAATTTTAATGTTCACCCTTTTATTCTATTTCTTTATTTAGTATATAAGCTAGGTTAAGATAGGGTTAAGTAAGATTTTACATTGTCGCGAATAACCGTTGCACTCTCTCATTCCAATAAAGTATATGTTACGCGAACTGTATATATTGGAGTTGGGATCATTGAGAATCTTGTATAATTGCACGAAACGACAATAAAAAACTTTTATTGTAGACATTTTCCTTTTGTGTTGTTCGTCCACGTGCTCTCCACAATACCTTGAATATGTTGTGTAACATATGCTAAACCCAATACAGTCAACCCCCCTATAACACTGTTGATTATTCCGTTTTATATGAATTCCATGTTGTACAAGTCATTTAGATATTACAAATATGTGTGCCGGACTGTGAACGGCTCACGTATTTGTAAAATCTAAGTGACTCGTACAACATGGAATTCATATAAAACAGAATAATCAACAGTGTTATAGGGGGGGTCGACTGTATAAAAAATTAAAATGTTATTGAAAAATAATAGGCTATAATAGGCTATCTAAATTATCTATAAAGAATAAACAAGTTATTTGTTCTAAATTTAGAATTTTCATTGAAAATAATTTATTATTTACTTTACTTACAAAACAAAATATATAAACAGCATGTTTTAAATTTTTCAAAAATTGATAATACTAATGATAAAAGTTTTTCACTTAGGAAAGAAATGTCTCTCTCTAAAATGGAATTTCTTTTATTTTGATTCTTAAAAAAAATCAAAACAAAATATTCTTTAGTTTAGTTCCATGTAAGATATCTTTGCAGATCTGAACTTACTAGATATCTGGTCATTAAGATCAGACCAGAAAGTCTTTTTTTTTTTCAAATAATGACTTTATTAGCATGGCTTTACAGATGAAATTAAAATTATGTAATGAAAAAACCAAAACCAAATAAATTTAGAAGTTGAAATGGCTTACCAGCAGCTCAGGATACAGTCTAATATTTAAATCAGATAGTCATGATTTTTAATACTGAAGAGCAGAAAGTCCTCACACAATGTCATTGATAGATTCTTGAAAATTGACATTAAGCAAAACAATTTATAATGAAACTAATTTTACCATAAGTTAATTGACAATAACAAAATCATATCTTGTTTATATTTTTCTAACTGGATCATGTTTGCAGGCTCAGCATTTTTTCCCACCTCACAGAATCAATTTTATTGTTTATAAAGAAAATTCAATAATGATAATTGTAAATGATTACAAATGTACTTTTATCTTTTCTCAAATAATAATAATAAAATGCATTAAACAAGGATTTGCTGTACATCTCTTTGGCATGCTGTTAATGAGTTTTTGTAACTTTTTGTAACTTTTGTAAATTGTGATAACGTGATGCCATAAGACAATTACAACCTCAACCAATAATGCTTTTTTAGATGTTAGGTTTAGCTGATGAATCTTTTTCTTTAAATTCATTGACAAAATTTTCAATATGGTTAATATCTAGGGATTGTGCTAATCATATTCCTTGTATGTGACTAATCTGTCACCAACTTTGACTAATGGCAAGGAGTGTTATCCTGGAAGATAAAAAATTCCACAAATTCATGTCTCACATAGAAACATTTGGGGTTCCAAATATCCACATAATTTGTTCCATTCAATGTGCAATCAACAATTTTCAGATGGCCAGGATTTTTCCTGTAGTCTATGATAAACAGTATGCATAGATGCATAAACACATGCTTATCCTGCCAGACCTTTTTCATTGTTTTAAAACTCAGCACTGCAGCATGTTAAACATTTGATCGCATTCAGTAGGCAGCCTCAGTCAACCATTTCTCTTTCAATGTTCCAGAATTCTGGTTTCAATAAATCTTTTAACAGTACACAAGACAACAATAATAGAATGTCACATGCACATTTAATAATTTTATGATTGCTAAATAAAATTTATCCAAAATAATAACTTTTGAACAGGTTTGAACAGGCAGGAAGGATTTTTTGGTCTTAAACATTGCCAAATTATAACAACAGAAATGTTACAAGGATAGCCATGCAGGCCTACTAGCTACTGACTCAACTGTCAATCATTTTTAAAACTGAAAGCTATAAAAAGGGACATCAGAGAAAGTTGTATTGGATTAGCAAGCCAAAGGAGTTTGGTGAATGATAGTGTGTTTTTGAAGTCTGCATTTTGACTTATAATGTCACTTCTGTGTTTCTGTAGAAAGATTTGAATTCAGCAACAAGTTACCTTTACAATGATATATATATATATATACTTGAATTATATTATTTTAGCAGAAATGAAATAAAATTTTTTCAGATTACTGGTATAGGACTTTGGTACTATTATATTTATGTTATAATAGTTTCCCCATGATTGAAAGATTGAAAAGAATAAGAACTATCTTTTGCAATTGAAAGATAATTCACTAAGTCTAAATATAAAAAATTTTAATATATTTTTTTCGTTCTGATATAATATACTTTACCAAAAGATTCTTGATCTTCAGTTATTAAATGCAAGTTGTTAGCTTTTATAACATTAAATGTCAGTCTTTCAGCTGTTGGTAAATAACTGAGTCCAAATAAAATTTCTCCATTATCCTAAGAAAAATAACAATTTTTTAAAATATATATTATTATAACTTTTATTACATATAATAAATTTTGATTTTAAGGAAAATTTACCTGTTTTGGTTCAGCAAGATCTACAGTATGTAACTGCTCTTTGCTATTTTCTAAATCAGCAAGATTTACAATAACCTGACCAAGTTCAGTGTCATTGGCCAATTTCTCTTCATCAAAGACAGATATTTTAATCCAACAGTCTTTAATATCATTTTTCATTACATCCATTACAAATGTTTCTTTGAATAATGGATGTTGTGTCTTTTTCTTTGTGCTTGTTCTAAATTCATATAGAGATACTAAACTATTTTTTGACCATCGTCTGCGACCTTTGCTTCTATAAATCTGTACAGTTATATAGGGATCACAAGTCCCTCCATATAGTCTTGGAGGGAGATCTTGTGCTTCCTAAAAAAAGAAATAGTCAATTTTAAAATGTCAAAATTTTTCCTTTAAAAATATAAATAATTACCTTTAGAACAATTACTAGCTGTCCTACTCCTTCTTTATCAACAATTTTATAATGAAGACTAAATGATACTTGGCCATAATTTATTTCTTCTCCATCTACCATAGGCATATCTAGTGATGCTTCACTCTAAAACAATTTATAAGAATGTTTGAATTAGCGTTTTCATTATTTTAATACATTTTGAAGTAAATATTTACGTTGATAAATAATACTTTGGTAAATGTTTTAATGACTTACATATGTAGATACTGATGCATCACCACGACTACTTGTTGACATACTACTGTAAGTTGAATCTTCGCGATGCTTACGACCATTTTTGAAGTGACCATCAGCATTAATTTTGGCCAGTGGAATAGGAGATTCATTCTCCACTGTATACTGAGGTGCTCCTGTCAATTTAAATGTGGCTGTCTCTTCAATACCATCATATTCACTTGCTTTATTCAATTTCATTTTTCCCACTGAAAATTTTTGCTTTTTACTTAAAACAGTACTTTTTAAAAAATTAATTTCTGCCATTTTAAACATTTTATTTGTATAATTATATAAATAATTATTTTTCAGTATAAAAAAGTATCTAAAACTCAAACTTTTTTTTTCAAATTAAAAACTTACTCTTTTTTCCTATACGAACCAAGCAAGAATGGAGCCAGCAGACTGGAGTAACAACACATACAGTTATAAGAACAGTTACAGCTAATAATGCCAAGCAGACTGCAACAATTAGAAATTTTTGACCTTCTGTCAATTGAAACATTATATCTAAAAAAAAAACAATACATATATAAACTGATATTAAATTATAAAATTATATAAACACTTATATATAATTTTAAAAATTTACATATCATCAATATAATACAAAAATTATAATTTGGTAATATGATATCATATGTAAAGAACTCATGTTATTTATATAATTATATAAATGATTAGTCTTTTAGTACAGTAATACCCTGAACTTACGCGATAGGTGAGACCGAGCGGTAACTGCGTAAGTCGAATTCGCATAAGTCGGGGTATAATTTCCCATATAAATACATACAAATAATTTTTAATTGGGGCCGGAGACTAAAGAAAACAATAATTTAGAAAAAAATGTTTAATAAAATCTTAGATAATACATATGTATAACGAATTAGGCCTATATTATTTTACAATTTTTCACATTTACTTGATTGTTACACCATAATTTTAACATTGTTTCCATCTAAGCGATAATACTGTGACGTTTACAAATGATGCTTGAATTTAAAGATTGAGCATTTTCCACAGCTTTGAGAATTTTTTCTTTGCCTTTTATAATTGTTCTGACTGACAATTCCGATAGATCAAACTTCTTTGCCAATTCACAAATTTTCATTTTTGTATCAAAGTCTTTAATAATGGGTACGTTCGTAAAGTCAAATGAGTTAAACGCGTTAGTAACAAATCGTTCAAAAAGTCTAACGAAATAGGAATAATGATGACTTCATTCTCGCTTAACTCGTTCGACTTTACAAACATACCCAATGTTAACTTTACATTTCAAAGATAAAGTTTTTCCTTTCTTGAAGTTTTTCCTTCCTTTTTTTGATGCAGAAGAATTAGTTCTACTTCGTTTGGATGACATAGTAGTCTCTCAAGTCTCCGTAGATATAACAAACACAGAAATAAAGAACACAAAATAAATTGTGGCGTAATAAACACTAGTAATGTGTTTTATTCTAAAAACACATGGCAAATTTTCAACAAAATAAATTGTAGCTATGTGTGGATTCCGCGTGACACATCTGAACACGTAAGCTGAACAATAGTGTGGGGGGAGTGAGTAATCAAGGGTTGCGTGGCACTCAAACAAAAGACGAATCGACGAGATTTGAAAATCACATAACTCCGGGTTCGCGTAAGTCGGGGTATCACTGTATAAAGAAAGATATCTAAAAAAAATGAAACTCCTTCTAATGAAAAAAAAATAAACTTTAACTTCATATACATAAAATAACAGGATGTTTTTCTTGTACATATGATTTCTAAACACACTTGTAAATTTAGTTGAAAATGTTTGTCAGATAACCATTTCTTTGCTAAAAAAAAGTGTTCTGGCTGTACAGTACAGCTGAGTGTTTAAATATAATTATTAAATGAGACTACTAATCAAAATATTGTTACTTTGTTTTAGTTTAAGAGTTAGCCCAAAAATGTTATTAATAACATTTTTGGGCTAACTCTTAAACTAAAACAAAAATAGCCAATTATTTATTAATTTGTATTTGACAATTTCTTGAATTATAAGGACAACTTCTTTTTCTATTCAAACAGTTATTTTTCTTCAATTTCATGTGTATAACACACAAAGCATGTAACAAAACCATCTCTTGACTTGGAGAAGTTTGGACCACTCTATACAAATCTTTAACACATTAATTTTACACATTACATATATTTATATTTTCATTTTCTTTCTATATTCGGTGATGTTGATATGTGTATGCCTTTTGTTTATCATTCAATGTTATATTGTTGTATGGACAATCTATGTGATGCGTGTTCCTTGTGGTTTTTACAATTTCTTAATTGTTTAATTTACACTCTTCCAGAATGTATTTTATACCTATTTAAAAATGTTGATGCATTATATTCTTAGAAAAAATAGTTAATACATCATAGCTCTTAATTGTTTTATTAGAACGTTGTTACTTATTCAAATTCTTTTGTTTGTTGCTGAAGAAGACAATTTTGTATTTATCAACAGTTCTTATTATTCTTAATTTTATATTAAAAAACTTATTTAATCCTGACAGACAAATAATATTAAAGAAATTCTTACTATATTACTTTTAAACTTTAAAAATAATGTAATATTTAAAAACTTTTTCCAAACAACTTAGTGTATTTCATTTAATTATTTAAATTAAATGTAATTCTGTTATATTTGAAGGTTAAATAAGTCAAAAGCATTTATGTATTAAAAATCATAACCATAATTAAAACCAATGTGCATTTTATGAAAGAAATAGTTCAAAAATTCATTTTATTAATGAATATAGTAAGAGCTTGATATAATGGACTACCACAGGATTGATGAAATTGATCCATTATAATGAAAGTTTTATTTGATTACTCGTTATTATGGACTTGTCCAGTATATACAAAAATCCATTACTATATAGTAGAACCTCATTATAATGAATCTCGATAACACACCTAGAGAAAATATCTGCAGTTCATGGCATTTGGACCTGAAGAAAACTTCCAAATCAATGTATCTTTACCTTGTTTCACCAGATATGTTACCACAAATATATGAAAATTCTATGATATATAGTAATATTGACTTATCTATTACTGTATATCAATATTGTGGACAAAAGTCAATTATATAGTGAATAAAATTTCAGTTGTTAATTCTTTAAGCCAGATTTTTATACTTTTATTCATTATTTTTTTAAAATATTTGTAAGAATTGTTTTAAGAATATAGTTATTTTTTTTATCTGCAGCTATAACTGAAATAAAACTTTCTGGTTTAAAAGAAACAAAACATAATCAAGGTATTTATTTTTGAAAGAAACCAGTAAATATAATTTCAAATGAACAAAAACAAAAACATAGTAAACTTTAATAAAAAAAAAATCAATAATTTTTGTGTGACTTGTTTTGGTTTCATTTTAATCCAGTATATAGAAAAATATATAATTTTGCTAGGGATGCTACATTTTTGAGAACCCATTTGGGACATTGTTCCATTTGAACATAATCTGATAAACCATGTAAGTTCTCGATAGTCTTGTCATTACTACCTAAATTGTGTTTATTTCAGTACTTTCATCTGAACTGTCATTATTTGCATCAACAGTCCCAGGTGGCCCATTAGTCAAAAAGCAATTATTATTGTTATTGTCATCATCATCATCATCATCATCATCATCACAATATCCTGTTTCACAAACCTGTTGTATATGGTAAAATAGCATCTACAAATTCTATTAAAATGTCCTTGTTCTTATTATCCTCATCTGCTACCTTTTTGTTTCTTTCATCAACAAAAAAACAGTGTGTGTTTAAAAATTATACTAATATTCAATTTTAAGAGATTTATCTGAAGTCCAAGCTTCAGAACATATTTTTAAACCTTACAATAAATTTGGTTTCCATGTGGCTTCCATTTCTAATCGACGTAGAAATTCTATCAACATTAGTCTTCTGTAACAGATTTTAAAATTCTGGGATTATTTATTGATCCATTGGCTGAATGAGTAATGTTACATTTGCTGGTAACACAATTCAATCCACTTTAAGTTTATTGGAGAAAAGTGTGCAGTACAATTGTCCATTATCAGAAGAATTTTTCTGTTTTGTCATGCTAGTTCTTTTTTCCAGAGACCAAGCCTTTCATAAAACAAACTGAGTCATCCAATCATTTCTCTTGCTCTTGTACAGTGTAGGAAGAACTCAAATGTTTTTAAATATATGGTTTTGTTTTGACCAATGACAAGCAATTTTTGTTTTTCACTTCCTGCCATAGTAGCATGGTAGCTCCTCCTTTTGTTTGCTTTCTTCCTTTACATCGATTGCCATTGAGAAACATGGTTTTTGTTGGCAAAAATCTAAAATAATCTAGTTTCGTCATAATTGAAAATATCATTGAGCTTGTACTTTTGTTATATTAGGGGGCCATTTATTTGTGATCTCTTGTTGCATTTCTGTCTGCTAAAGTTGATTCTCCAGACCCAACTACATAAGGTAATAAATAGAATTATGTTTGAAATCTAGAAAACCATCCTTCACTTCCTTTGAAACCATCCAGACGAAGTTCTGCAATTTTTATAGCTTTTTCACATGTCAGGGTACTATTCAATGGAAGTCCTTCAACATTTGCTTTTACTATCCATTTCAAAAGCTGTTTTTAACTTCACAATGTCACCTGCATCAATATTGTGTTTATGAGAAATAAAAATGTTTATTTTTCTTAATTTAAAGTTTTACCTTTTGCAGCCTAAATTGTATAACAGGGACAGTATAAAACCTTACCTTTTACTTTTTTGTTAAAACTGTTGTATTTAAGAAAAGACTGTTGCAATTTTTCTCTTGCTTTCCAAATGTCTGAAACTGTCTGCTTACTCAGACACATTTCTTTACCAACTTCAAATTGAGATTTTTCATCTTCAACCTGATAAATTATATCTATTTTTCATGTTAAATCTAAAGCTTTTCATTTTTTATGATCCATAGCTTTGCTTTCCCCAACAAATCCAAGACTCATTGCTCATAGAGAAAATGACTACTTTTGTTCAGTTTGTTTTCAACCAGAAAATAAAACAAAAACTAAACATAATTTGAAAATTTATGCCAAAAAATTAAAAAAATTATTTTATATCATTTTTTTTATTTTATTTTCAAATAAAATAAATATAACAATGACTATAATGAAATAAAAATGATGACTGTAATGAAATAAAACGATAACTAAAAGTCCCTAATGAAAAAATGGTGGTCTGCAGGACCTGAAAAATACTGTAGTCCATAGTAGCAGGGGTCTGTTTTAGCAAAGGAGTTCTCTTCTAATTTTCCTATACTTTTGGATGGTAGTACATCAGTCATACATGAGATCTGTTGTCAGGATCATAATACAGTAGAGCGTCGTTTATCCGAATCAATTGGGGACTGGGGTGGTTCGGATAACTTATTTTTCGGATAACGAATCATGTACGAAAAAATATATTAATTTATCCTATGTTGAAATTTCTCTCCGTTGCGTGTCGCTTCGCGTTGAATTTTCGT